TGGATTTAAGTGTCTTAAATAAATAAATAAATAAATAAATAAATAAATAAATAAATAAATAAATAAATAAATAAATAAATAAATAAATAAATAAGATATCAGTGCGGGGAGGGGGGCGATGATAACTTCCTCAATAGCTCAAGGGGGCGTTTCTTTCAAAAAGGTTAAGAACCATTGCAATACACCATACTGGGAATCTTTTCTAGTAGTTAGTAAAGCATAAAGCCCCACCAGACTCTGCCATGTGACCCTCCAAAATTGCTCTGAAATGAAGTTTTCCTCTTGGGCTGGAAAATATTTTCATTACCATTGGTTTCGTTTAAACAAACTGGAGTGGATTGGGCCCGCTGTCTCTATGACTGTGCCTCTGCAAATTCACCCTTTAAAAAAAAAGAAGAGGTTTGATCAGTTCCTGTATTTCACAGAGAATAACACAGAAAGCAGGGGAACAGCATACTCTCATAAAACCTGAGATGCCAAAGGTCTGATTATATGAGATGACCACTAAATCTGAGAGAGACTGGGGGTGGGGGGGAAAGGTGTCTGACTTGCAATTATTTTATTCATCTTTGAGCACTAGGAAAAATGTCTTTCAGAGTTCAAACATCAACCTCGTACACCCTTCAGGGCATGTGTGAAATTGCTGGTCGATTTTGGATTCCCAGACCAGAGAAAAGCTAGAAATAACAGTTTTTTGGATCAAGGTCTGAGCTTCTCATAGGAGTTTTTCCTTGTTTATAGGGAACTGGAGCCTTCTGCGGGTTTTTTCCGCCTCTGTACGGGAGGTTTAAAAAAAAAAAAAGCCAGGTTAGAAAAATAATTGCATTTTTTTAAAAAGGAGGTTGACAGATCTTCTTGGCTGGCAGAAGGAACCCAGACTAATGGTTAAACCACGCCAATTTCCCCCAAATGGGGGGGGGGGAATGGACAAAAAAACAGAGAGGACCAATTAAACCTTTGGTGCGACCACCCTTCCATCTGTTTTCTTCCCTGGGTTTCTGCTTCTCTCTCTTGGCTCATCTTCTGTCTTTTTTATGACATATTGGCTAACAAGCCAATTTCTACTGGCCGCTGGCATTCAGAGACTGCGGGATCAAAGCTTTGGCTCCTAATACAGATGCAGCAAGCCAAACCGGTAAAAAAGATGTATACCTGCCCTGACTCCACTGAGGCAGAATTGTGGTTGGATGCAACTTTAGACAAGCATGGCCTGCTGCTGAGAGAGCCGCTGAGCAGGCCAGAGGAAGGCCTGTATCCAAAGTTTGCTCCATCTTTGCCTTGGAAATGGAGGGCTACACAAGCTGCTTCACTGGGGATAACCCCAGACATCTTGCTGCCTGAGGCAAAAAATTAAGATAGCTGCCACATCCTACTAAAGTAGAGTCCTCTTCAGAACACATAGGCCAGATGACATGCCTCCTCCAACTTGAGGGAAGCAGAAAAGGGGCTTGAAGTCCCAGTGGCTGGATACCCTGGGGACACAGATGCCCTTCCAGAGAGGAGGTATCCAAAACGAGGAGGAAAGATCCCTCCCAAACATTAGAGAATGCCAGCATTTCAACATCCAGGACAACGGAGCATGGCCAAGGCAAAGTAAGATGTCTTGGTCTACCCAGATGTAGCAAAAGATCTGTGCAGCTGCACCTGTGGGCTTCCACCCAACCAGATAAACTTGGAACACTGCTCCAACCGTACTGCTGAAAGTATTACACCTTATTTCACCTACTCCCTTGATCTAGAAGCATGGTCTTCAATGTTCCCTGTACAAGAGTGATTTTTGGGCTGAGTGGGCTCGTGGTCAATTCCTGCTTCAGCCCTGGTGAGGGAGGGTTGCTTAGGGTGTGGTGAGCAAAGCTGCACGGCACACGCTTCTCTCTTCCGAAACACGCACCCCTACCCAAGGGCAGCAGCCTTTATCTGTCTGGCACTGGGGGAACCTGAGCACTGCCTCCAGGCTCCTAGTTTATTTGGTTCCATTATGGGCCATCAAGTCACTTCCAAATTACAGCAACCATGATAAAGAGTTTTTGAGCTGGATGAGACATGTTCCAAGAGGGTGGTTTCGCTGCTGTCATAGCCAAGAGAGTTTCCATGGCTGAGCAGGGATTTGAACTAGGCTGAACTAGGACCTAGTTTGACAATCTCTCCACTACACCAGGCTGGCACTCAAAACTAGCCTCCCAGGAGATTCTCTCAGAGAGGAAACAAGCTAGAGGGGGAAATTAAGAGACCTTTCATTTCAGATGCATTGGACTGTTCCGGAACCAAACAGGTTTCAACAGGAGAAACACCTTGTTTCACCTATAGAAGATTTTGTCTTCAAATATTGGAGGATGTTGTTGATCATGAATGGAGCAGCAGTCACAAATGTGATACAGCGACACACACGCGAAAAGCCAGAAATGTGATCCTAGGCTGCATTTAGAGAACTCTCGTTTCTAAGTGACGAGAAGTAATAATTTCATTAAATCCACACGCCACCGAACGAATTCTTGATTGCAGTCACCATAACCTATCGGCACAGCTTCTGGGGGCTGGAGCTGATAGGATTTGTAGTCCATGGGACCTAGATCATATCAGGTTGCTTACAGCTAGTTTACATCCTTTCCCCCCAAAAAGTCCAAAAATAGGCTACTCTTTTTATCAATGGAAGAGAGTATTTAAAAAGACAGAGTAAAAGCAGGCATGGTTGCATGCCTTTTGTGTGTGTGTATTTTGTTTTATTTATATATTTCTATGGCCAGATCCTCTTATGGAAAGATAAACAGCTTCCTCGGAAAGAACAACTTAGAGGCAAATTTTATTCTGCTGAAACCAGTCTGCGATAAACAAAAGAAAACATTGCATTAAAGAAGGGAGAGAAAGAGAGGCAGGCAGCAGGGAGAGTGCAGAAAGAGTTCTACCTGCGGCGTCAAGGAAAATGACAGTTTGAATCTCATTCAGCGTCCTGACATTTCTCTGGATGGGGAAAGACTGGCCTTTTAACTTTGCTCGCACCTGAAAAGAGTCTTCTTTCTTGAAACTGCCTTCTTTTCCCTTCTGTGGAACAAGGACGGCCCACATGAGGACCCCTCCAGGACGCAAGGGCCCCTTCGACTCCCCCGAACAGCCTCCAGGGA